ATTTTATAAATGCCTGCTTCAGAAATATTAGTGCTATTATTGTTTGAAGATCTTAGTATATCTATAATGGTTTTGGAGGTGTTTGTGACTATTTCAAGATTATTTAGATGGGATAGGTTATTCTGGATCGTGGACGTGGCAGAATTGGTCGGTAGTATTATGTATCTGTTTTCATGTGATTTTATTATTGCGGATTGTATTATTAGTTTTGTTTCGTTTGTATATTTTGTATGCCTTTCTTCTTGCATTGTGGATGAAATGATATGGGTATTGTAGGTTTTTGAATGTGTTTCTATGTATGTTTCTTCTTTAAATAAATATTGAGGACTACAGATTCTTAATGCTCTTAGATAGAAACCTATAATAATTCCAGATTTAATTTTTGAAGGGTGGTTTGAGTAGAAGCTGATGAGATCATTTTTTTGTTTGTAGCCTTTCTGTAAACGTCAAAATTGAGTTCGTTGTTATTTCTAATTAACAAAATGTCCAGGAACGGAAGAGTGTAGTTGGTTTCAGTTTCGAGAGTGAAGTTTATTGTAGGTTCAATGTTGTTAAGTTTGGAGAGAAGATCCGTTAAATTGGTGTTTTTGGAATTATTAATAACGAGTCGTCTATGTATCTGAAATATGAAGAGTTTGTAGGGAGAATATTTTTGAATGAGTCACTTTCTAGAAATTCTAAAAATAGACATGCAAGAACGCCGCTGAGAGGGGATCCCATTGGCAAACCAAATTTCTGTCTGTAATGTTGGTTATTAAAAGTAAAAAGCATAGCTTGGTAATTAGTTGGCACAGTTTTATAATTTTTGTGTAGATATAGGTAATTGGATTTTTGTATTTGTTAGGTGTTTTTAAGTAAATTTAAGCATTTATCTATGGGGACGTTTGTATAAAGAGATTGTATATCTAAACTAGTCATATATTTGTTTTCAATGTCTATGTTTTTTAGCTTGTTTAAGAGGTCGCCTGAATTTTTATGTGTGATGGACTAATTGCCGAGAAGTGGAGTTAAAATTCTGCTTAGTTTTGGGCTAAAAAATTCAATTACCTATATCTACACACAAAATTATAAAACTGTGCCAACTAATTTTTTTTATGCTTTTTGTTTTTTTAATAACCAACATTACAGACAGAAATTTGGTTTGCCAATGGATCTCCTTTTGCTCTTGCATGTCTATTTTAGAATTTCTAGAAAGTGACTCATTCAAAATATTCTCCCTACAAACTCTTCATATTTCAGATACATAGACGACTCGTTATTAATAATTCCAAAAAACACCAATTTAACGGATCTTCTCTCCAAACTTAACAACATTTACAATAAACTTCACTCTAAACTGAAACCAACTACACTCTTCCGTTCCTGGACATTTTGTTAATTAGAAATAACAACGAACTCAATTTTGACGTTTACAGAAAGGCTACAAACAAAAATGATCTCATCAGCTTCTACTCAAACCACCTTCAAAAATTAAATCTGAATTATTATAGGTTTCTATCTAAGAGCATTAAGAATCTGTAGTCCCTCAATATTTATTTAAAGAAGAAACATACATAGAAAAACACATTCAAAAACCTACAATACCCATATCATTTCATCCACAATGCAAGAAGAAAGGCATACAAAATATACAAACGAAACAAAACTAATAATACAATCCGCAATAGTAAATCACATGAAAACAGATACATAATACCAATTCTGCCACGTCCACGATCCAGAATAACCTATCCCATCTAAATAATCTTGAAATAGTCACAAACACCTCCAAAACCATTATAGATATACTAAGATCTTCAAACAATAATAGCACTAATATTTTGAAGCAGGCATTTATAAAATAAATTGCCAAAACTGCTCCCTCCCAATATATTGAGAAACAAGTAGAAGTTTGAAAAACGCATTTATGAGCACAAAAGAGACCTCACAAAAAAACAACTTAGCTAATGCAATAGTAATACATAGAAATAAATACAACCATAATTTTGATTTTAAAAATGCTACACTCATAAAAAAGAAAATCACTCACTCAGAAGGAAAATTTTGGAGAGTGCCCTATAGAAAATTATCCAAATATCAATTTACGCCCAGGCTTTTTCCCTATTTCACCTTTCTTAACAAAATTAATGCTCTTACAAACAAACATGCACAACAGATTCATAAAATCGAAAGAAAATGGTTGAATACATCAACACAGATATAATGACAATATTCTCCACACGTGACAATCTCTGACGTTATTTCTCATTTAAAAAATATGAAAATGTTTTCTACATTCCAGTTGCTAGGTACATTCTGTTTTTGTTTTTATTAGTTACGTTGTTCATTTAATTTCATTTTCGTATTTTGCTTTGATAAAGTCCACATTGGACGAAACGCGTCAGCAATTACCAGTTTTCCTATTGTCATTTTTATTCATAATATATATATATATATATACACATACACACACCCCCAAAGAAAAGAAGAATTGTGAAAAAAATATAGAATTAACATACCATAAATTGAGAAAAACATAAAAAACTCAGTAACCTAGAAATCTGATATAGAAAAAAACCTCCTTGGCTGAAGTAGTAATATAACCCAGAAAAACCTACAGATACTACTTTGCCATGACTAAAAGTTTCATGCATTGAGCGATCTTCAGATGATTCAGAATAAATTATGAAAGAACCAAACCTCCAACTATATACCTAACAGACAGGAAAATATTGGGGGGGGCATGAAGAAGGAAAAGAAAATATATATATATATATATATATATATATATACATACATACACACACAATAAACAAAATTTAATATAACCAAACTCATATCTTTTGGTAAATTTTTATGTATCAGTGCAAAAACTGTTTATATTGTTGATTGTCCCAAGCACTTTAGGCAACTTTAACCATTTTTAAGGAAGGTTGTTTTTGGTGGTGTTAGTTTATTTTCATGTTTTTGACTGTGTGAGATGTATTATTTGTGAATTATAGTGAGAGCTTAATTACAAACTTTATCATGTGTTGGACATGGCTGGAATTCAAGTGAGCAACTTTCTATTTTTAAGAGACTTCCAGCACTCCATTTCTATTGTTAAACAAGGTAAGGTTGATGGTGGGGAAAGAGCTGGCTGTTTGATGTACAGGGCCTCGAGGTGTTTCTGGAAATTTGATTTACAAAGGACTCAATTGTTTTTGACCAGTATCTTTCATAAGGTTTTTTGCAGATTATGGTTCTTAAATGTCTTGAGGCAATCAATGATATGGACAATTTTTGTACTCACTCACTCCCACCAAACAGAAAAATGTAAGAACACTGGAAAAACTAAGTAATATATATATATATATATATATATATATATATATATATATATAGTAATTATACAATATGGCAATCCATATGGAATTTCCAGGAGGATATAGATCCAGGGAGAGTTCTATGTCAAAAGACAGAATTAAATTATTATTAATTAAAGAATATCAAACACTTAAAATCCCATAGGTAATAGTCTTTCATGAAATCTCATGAAATAAAGATTATTACATATGGGATGTGAAGTGTTTGATATTCTTTAATTAATATATATATATATATATATATATATATATATATATAAGGTACTACTCAAAGGTTTGAGGAATTTGAAGAGATTGATGTATCTATTCACCTCTCAAATTACTAAGCATTTCCCATGTCTTGCCAGATAGTTCATGTGTTTGTTGAAATCACTTCACCAAGAAATGAAAAATACTCTTTTTCTACCATCTTTTTTCCTTTCTTTGAAGAAAGCATTTAGCACCTTAAAATCCAAAAACTTTTCAGCGGCACCTGAGATGCACTGCCCAAACAGTTTCTCTCTGTCAAAGATATTTGTTTGAAAAAGATGAAAAATATTGTGTGAAATGCTGAAATAAGCCATTGTCATATTCCACAAGTTTTTGGGACTCATCTTTTCAGCACTTTGTATTTCATCATTTTATCTAGTGTGATTTTGACCTTCCTCATAAGCTGATATTTCTATTTTCATAACTAATGTGTCAGCTGATGCTGTCTTCAACTTTCTATTGGTGCATAAGCTTAGTCAATATTTTTTATTTTGTTTTTGCCTCTATATATTCAGTATATCAGTATAGAAGTTATTATCCAAAAAGCATTTAGCTATTTAAAATTATACAAAAACAGCCTAGCTAGAGCAGAGGCATCTTAATTCTTCACAAATTCACATATTTGGGGTGTCAGATACTAAGCCAATTATCCCTTCCACTTTTCAAAATAGTCATTTTCCAAGATTGCCATCAGTTGCTTTGTCAAACTCCCTTTAACCTTATACACAACATTTCAATGGTGATTTTAGCTTTGGGAAATGTCAGAAGTCACAGTAAACTAAATAGTTTTCGGTTGGGGACTAAGAAACCTGGGTGGTGCGATGCTTTGCTGAAAAGCCCTGCACACTACATGAAAAACCTACTTGCATGGTCATTGTAAATGCAATTGTCCCAGAGTAATACATAAGCTCACTCAATGGCATTTTTCCATATTGTCTAATATTTTTTTCTATATTGACTCATATTTTTGGATTAATCATTGTTATTTATAAAAAATATTTTTCAATTAATCATTGTCATGTATAATTCAGTCTAATATCCTTATACTTGCTGACTTAATGATTTCATTTTAGTTGAGCTACACATAAATCTTTATCAAAGTAATATAAAATCATTTATTATAGTGCTATAAATCATTCTATCATATTGATTGATTAATTTGTTTTTTATGGCTTATCAACTCTTTGCAGATTATTTAAAGCTAGAAAATATTTTTTTTAACTTGTAAGGATTTTTTTATTTTGGAGATAATAATTATTTAGTGATACAAGTTTAACTAATTAATCCATAGCTGGGGTGAAAAGATGTGGCTTTCCCATGTGTATTTGCATGTAAGTGAATATAATGCAACTGGAATTAAAACTCTACTCTCCAATTAACAATCCCTGAGCCATCACCCACACATCTAACATCTGGTATTCCCACGCTGTCACCAATCTACATACTGACCAAACTCGACATTGCTTAACTTTGGTGATCATATAGGAACTGGCAGATTCAAGATGATATGGCTGTATGCCCTTTATATCACAGTGCTATAGGCTCTGCAGATTGGCATTCAGTATAATGTGTTTATCTGCACAAAAAGAGGAATCAACAAGCCAAGTTCAAATTTCATCCTGATCTGTTGTGTGTCCAGTTTCATACTAATGCCCTTGGGGAAGACATAGATCTATCTCTTCTCCACACCTAGCAATGTAAGTAGAACAGTAGACTGGAGAAGGCAATGGGAAACCATTCCTTCCTAAAAAGTCATTGCAGTTCACAGATAATAAGTAAAAGGAATCAAAAGTGACCCTGAATAGACAGGGCATTTCAGAAAATGAAATATAAAAAATGAATGCCACACCACTATAAATTTGACATAAACACCATCTGAAGCTTGAAAAAATCTCTCATGACACTATGAACAGGTCACCTTTGGAATGTTGTCCAAAAATATGAAGAACCAAATTGTCATGTCCTTTGGCTTGGCAGAAGCTGTTTATCTGAATGTTACAAATGGCTGCATCAACAAATTTAGTGCAACTACTTCTCAGTAATATGACCCCCAGCCTTTCAACCATCTATAAGATCTCATAAATCAAAATAAAAAAATTAAAAAATCCAGCCAGTTGATATTGTACATTCTACAAAAAACTGATCATGAATGTTTTAATTTTCTTCAAAAATAATAAAATTAGATAAAGTAAAAATAAATAAAAATTTACTTATACTGTATATATACTGTACAAACTGATAAAGGTGATTTTTGAATTTGTTTATTACATTTACTGGTCAGTACACTAATGTATAAACATTTAGAAATAAATTAGAAATATTACAAATGGTGGAAAAGTGTCATTAAAACTATCTGAAACTGGTTGACACAAAACCATTACATATGTAATGTGTCTGAAATAGCAATCAGGTACAACTTCTCATTTGGTAACCAGCTTGTTGAAATGGTATCCAGTCATTAAATGAGGAGTGGTTGTATATAATTCAACTCTGTGTGGTGATGATGATTAGCAAAATAAAAATCAATAGTGTCATTTTAACAATGTTATTATTGACCTATTTCATAGTCAGTATTAGTATAATCTTTGCAAACAATAAACAAAATACTAATGTGATATGATGTGATACAGTATATGTTTCTTTCTAAATTTCTAAGTGTTACTAAATGGATAATGTGCAGGCGTTTTATAATGCTGTGATAAGAATAAAGCATTGAAATATTAAATTTATAGGCCAGCACTCTTATCTGTTAATCAAATATTGATTACTTGGTTACCATTGTCTTTTTATAGATTGTCTATAAGAATGTTTTACAACAGGAATAATGATGGTGACTTAGAAAAACATGTTAGTCGATTATGAATTAGATTAACAAATTAGAGTTGTGGGCAATTTTGTTTAATATTTTCATGTTTATTGATGTTCACAGAAGTGTTAAGAGTATCAAAAGCAATGCTTGATCGGTAATGAAATTTAGATTACCCCTCCAATAATATTTTTGGGGTCATCTTGCTTCTTCTATGTACAAAAGAAATATTGATGGGATTTTATCATTATTGTTTCCAAAGGCAACTTGTTATTTTCTAACTTTAGTCAATATTTTTACTTTGAACAGACATTCAGTGATGCAGTCATCATCAGTGGTTTTACTGATTAATCTTGCAGTGTGCATTCTTGCTTAGAAACACTCATATGTACACTACACATACGCACATACACACTTGAATTTATATTTTTATATATATATATATATATATATATATATATATATATATAGCATAATGAGAAGCCACGTATACTTTCTTAAATATATATATAGAAAAAGTTTCAAATTGAAAATTATGTTTTTATTTTATGAAAGTATTTATTTATTTATATATATATTTGATGAAAATTGAGGACAATTTGAAATATCAAATATATATAAATAAATAAATACTTCATAAAATAAAACATTATAATTTTCAATTTGAAACTTTCTCTCTCTCTCTCTCTCTCTATATATATATATATATATATATATATATTTTAAAAGTAAGATTCACCCTTTTCAAGGCCCAAGGGCCATTCAAAGTAGAGGGTTACATTAAGGGGTAATTTATATGCATAAGAGAGGAAGATAACTGTTAACAGGTTAAGATTGTAGTGATCAGGGAAACATTCTCTTGGGAGTCTGTTTCACCGCACACTGGTTCGCGGGAAAAAGCTGTTTGAGTGGAACTTGCCTCTTGCTGATGGAATATGGAAGGACTGTGCATGGTTTGCTACTATGCAAGTCGCATGGTGGGTACAGGGAGCCAATCATTTTAACTGCATATTCAGCATTGGAATATTCCACTTGGGGTCGAGTGTGAGTTTCAGGCCCAATATTCTCTCAAGGTGCATAGCCTCCTCAAGGAGGACATCTGTTCATCATGACTGGCGGTAGTTCGGGGTCTGATCGTTGGTGATGGATTATAACCAGTTTGGTTTTCAAGGCATTGAATGTAACCAGCCAGATTTTTCCCTACTTGGAAGTTAATATTAGATCGGAAGAGTGGTCAGCTGCCAATCTCTGATTGTCAAGAGGCTTGATGAAATATCACAGTGCTTTTAAGTATATATTAATAAATATACATATTGTTTATCACACACACACACACACACACACACACACATATATATATATATCAATACAAGTGTAGAGCAACAAATATTTATTATAAACTGTTACATTAGACCATGTAAGTTACTACTACAAAATTGTATATTTTGTTTTGACATTTAATAAGCAACAGCATCTCATCATGTAGCTAACACTGATGGTAATAAACAATTTTATTTAAAATTACAATTTATGAAATATCACTTCATCTTTCATTTTGGGAAAATTTTCCATAAAAAGTAAAAATGATTTTTATAAAGAGAAAAAAAAAGGAAAGAAAATAAGAAATTGATAAAGAAAAGAAAGGCAAAAGAAAGCATAAGAAATTAACCCTACTACCAATAGAATAAAAAGAAAAGAAAGGCAGAAGAAAACTTTCCTCTTCCTTTGTATCTGTGTAATTTTGAATATACTCCTCTCTTTCTTGTAACAGTTTATAATATATATATATATATATGTATATATATGTATATATATATATATATATATATATATATAATGTCAAAAAGGCTATGAATAAAAGACAAAATGAAACCTTTTCTTCTTTAACAATGCATTTCATCCTCTGAGGGATTTTATCAAGGTAAATGTAAGGATTTTATTTTGCCACATGTATTTATAAACAGAATTTAAGGTGGTGGAAAAATATTAAGTTTCCAAAATTTATATTTAATAATGCTCTAAAATATTCTTAAAGTTCACTGTGTAAGTAAAGATAAACTGTGGAAGATACTAAGTGATGTCATTTAATGCCTAATATATGAAAAGTGAATAAATGTTGTTAATAAATTTGTATTTTCTTATTTGCTCAAAATTTATTTTTTTAATGTAATTATTATTTTATCTGAATTTGATAAATTATTTATGTATTTATTCATTTTAAGGTTGAAGGTGGTAACCATTTTCTTTGAATTTTTAAAAAAATGTATGGTCATGCATGTTCGCTTGGGAAATAGGTATTTCCTTTATGAAAGGAGATATTTTAAAAACTCCAGGGTGTAAGTTAACATTTTGGTAAAATTCGATAGTTTTTGAGGAGGCAAAGTGTACATGGGTTAGCACTGATGACTTGAATTTGTTGATTAAAATAAATAAAATTAAATAGCAAACTCAACTTTTGCATAACATTAAAACATGGAAAAAGGAATATTTGTTGACAGTAGAAATTTAATATATTCATGTGTGTGAATGGTGGGGTCATGAAATGATGTCTGTATATAGAAGTCTGTATCTGTGTTTGTGTCTATATACATTACAGTTCAAAAGTTTGAAGCAAACCCTAAAGTGGCATAGGATGAACTTGACAGAAGAGTGAAAAATAAATGAAAAAGAGGCTCTTAAAATCATTGAAAAAAGAATGGAATCAATTATCAACCTTATACTTTGAGAAACTTTTGCAATGAAGGCCAAAAATTTATGCTGCAGTAATCAAAGCTGAAGGTGGATATTTTGATGAAAGCAAAATTTCATCATAAAATGCTCTTTTCTTTTCGTCATGATAAAATTTTTAATAAAAAAATCATGTCTAACTTCTTTTTTTAACCATGTATAATAGTTTTCTCTTATTTAAAGAACAAAACAACTACTTTTCAGGCTAATTTTAAAAAATTACCAGGAGTGGCCTACAAACTTTTTTGTGTGTGTGTGTGTATGTATGTATATATATATATATATATATATATATATATATATATATATACACACACACACACTATGCATGCAAGTACACACACATATATATATATATATATATATATATATATATATATGCATATTAAGCAGTGTTAAGTTACTGTAGGTGTTTATTTATTTATGGCTGATATATGGTATGGGTGTTTTTGTAGACACACACACTGTATTTCTCTTGCTTTTCTCCATTTACTGGCTGTGAATGTCAGATCCCCCCCTCCAGATACCTTCCCTTGACTTCTTTTTCTGTTGCTTTGCTAAATGTTGGTGATATCTATCTGTCTGCCTGTCATGGAGTTCCTCCTATTCATCTAAATTTGACCTTGCCTATAGATTTGCTGTCAGGAACATACACACTTGCAGCAAACATTTCAGTCTTTCAGTGCCTCTGTCTTCCTGTCTCTCTCATTCTTTCTCATTTTTTTCCTTCTTTCTCTTCCTACTTATTCTAACTATGTCTATATATCTTGTACTTTCCATAGTTTTTTTTTTTATAAATCTCAGTGTGTTCATATCTATCAGGTTGGAACAAAATAAATGGCCATTTTTGCATTGTCTTAGTGGGATTATTTTTTCCTCATCATTCTTTTCTACACAGATTTATATATGAAAAGTAATTTCATATATATATATATATATATATATATATATATATATACATATATATATATATATATATATAAA